CCCCCCCCCCCCCCCCCCCCCGCCCCCGCCCCCGCCCCCGCCCCCGCCCCGCCTCCTCTCCCACCTACAAAAAATAATAATCTATTATTTCTTTCATACCGTGTTTTTGAAAAAAATATCAAATTACCCCTCATTCGGACTTTCAAAGTTTGAAGTTTAACTTTGGGATCACTACATCTATAAGTTGGAGAAACTTTGGGGTCTAGGAACAACTTAGGACCTTGAAGGATGGTCTTTCACGTTCCTAAGTTGCTCGTGGACCCTAGAAGCCACCTTCTAGCAACTGAGGTTGCTCATGTGGATCCAATAGCAACTTAAGACTTTGAAGTTTGAAGTTCTTTAACTTCGAATCTTCAAAGTCCTATGTTTCTCCTAGATCTAGAGTTTTTATAACTTAGAGATGCATAGATGTCAAAGTCGTGTTTTTCTAATTGAAGGTCCAGAGAAGGGCCAATTTAGTCATTCAAAAAAGTTCATTAAAAAATGTTGTGAATGTAGTTATGGAAATTTTGGGGAGAAAATTTTAAATAACAGAAACTCACATGGATTTTTGCATAAATTTCTCTTAATTTAGTGAGGAAGTGGCAAACTTCACTCATTTTAGGGCGTGAAGCCGAGGATTTCAATTATTTCAGGAGAAGAGAAGAGAATATAGCATTCATTATAGCTTATGAAAATTTTAATTGTTGTGGGAAAAAGAGATTGGAAGAGGCAGAATTTTTTTGGGTAAGGAAAACTATCAATAATTTTTTTGGGTAAGGGAAACTATCAATAAAACGGTCAAACACCTCGAAAAATCAAGGGCTATTTAGAAGAAAAAATATGTTTCACATGGGAAATATTGGAATTTAAATTATAAATTTGCATATCCAGTGGTCGTTTAAGAGGGCAACTTTCCCATGTCCAATTAAAAGGGCAAAAAAAAAAAAAGCCAAAAAACAAACAGGGCACTCCTCCATTGGCAACACAAAATTTAAACTATGAGTCAAAACTTAAAACTCTCCAAATCATGGAGCATTTTAAATCGTGTAGTCGAGGAGGTGAAACTTCTGAATATCTAAACATTGGGAAGTTATAGCTTTAATCCCTTCATAGAAGAGAAAAGCTTGGAAGTGTCGACTTCCCTTTATTGGACTATGGCATCATTTTATGTATTGTTGGTTTTATTTTTTAATTTTTTAAAAATTAGATTGACAAAAATTTAAAGGATTTCATGCGCCTAGCTAGGGCACATTTGAAAAATATTCAAAAATAATTCGATCGACCAAAATACACTTAAAGAGTATTTTAGTTATTTTTTTTTAAGTACTTATTTTATATTTTTATAAAAAATAATATTACGCTTTTGTAAGAGCATACTTTATACTTACTCCCTCGGGGAGAAGACTAACTTGGGAAGACATTATTTGATCTAAAATTTTGTAAACCACCTAAACCACTAGATTATTAAATTAAAAAGGAAAAAAAATTGAAGGTTGAGTATTTCAACACTTACATTTCATCCTCTAAAAAATATATGATTTCCATTCAATCTTGAGCCATTTTCTTTTCAAGCCCAAGGAAGAAAAAATTTGAAAAATTTTAAATTAAATAGAGCATACAGATCACACTCTCAAAATTTGGACTCCTAAAAATATTCCTAGATTGGGTTTATGCCAATGAGAGTAAATGGAGCATGGATCTTTTGGCAAAATATATAAAAAAAAGATTGAAGACTGTGTGGTCCTTTTCATGAGAATTCCAACCCTAAATTTCTAAATAGAATCTTCTCCTTTTATGATTCCAGGCTGAAAACACCTAGGCCATGTCATCAAAAGCAAAGCCAAAAAACCAAAAGCTGGCTACTCCAAAACCAATGCTCCTTTCTCCTTATTATATGTCTCTTGCCCTTTTTATATTCTCTCACTTTCATTTTATTAATTAACCATCAAAACTGGATAAAATTCACACACCCTCTTGCAAACAAAGGAAAAACACAACAAATGCTAAAATACATAGAAAACCCTAACAAACCAGAACCTCTGTCTCCTGTAAAATTGTTACAATTCTCAATGCCATAGCTCTGGAGCTTCTCTAATGGCGGATTCCTCCCCTCCGCTGCGAAAAGTTCGGCTAACTCGGAGGAAAAACCCTAAAATTCGAAGGCCATGGTGTTGCTCATTTGCTGTTCCAGATAGCCCTGATCACCGAAAATTAGGGTTGGGGTTTGTCGACCATCCCTCGAAAAGTTCGCCCGAACTTAAAAACTCGAATCGCAACACTAAACCAGAGGTCTCGAAGCCCCCTTCTCCGAGCAAATTGGGGTTGAGGAGTATCTTGTCCCCTGGTAGGGTTTCTCCGATTGAATTAGGTTCAGGGCTTCATGATCCGGAGCTGCTGCGTCCTCCTGTGCAATTGCAGGAATATCCGGAGAGGGAGGTCGTCCGGCGCCCGGAAAAGGAGATTCCGGTTGCCGGTGTTGCAGAGAGGCCGATTTTTCGGCGAGATGGAGGGAGATGTGATGTGAGGCTGAGATTGAGGGGGAGGAGTGGGGGTTTTTTGGCTATGGAGGTGGATTCTAGGATTTTAAGTTCTTGTAGTCCATGGTTCGCAGATAAGATTTTAGAATCAAAGAGGAGGGGAGTTAGAGATGGTGATGGTGTGGTTACAGTAGAGGTTGAAGATGTGTCCGAGTTGGAGTCCTTTCAGAGAACTGTGGAGCTCATGTACTCTGAGGATGTATCAAGGACTCTCATGGATGCCGGGGTTTCTCGTGCTATTCGAATGCTCGAGGTATGGGTTGAAGCTGTGATGTTTTCCATGACCCAGTACTTGGACTCTGTCTCTCTAGGTTAAGCAATGGAAATGGGTTCTCTCTCCCTCCCTCTCTGTTTCTCTCCCTCCCTCCTTATCAGGTTTTAAATAGTTTAAAGTTAAACACTTATTAATCTTGTGTATATCATTATTTGCTCATTTCCTGGGTTAAGTAGGCAACTTTTTTTTTGCATTATCTTATATGGTTTTGTTTAGTTGTAAATAGTGCAAATGCAGTAGCTGGTTGCACTCAGAACAAAGTAAATTGTTTTCTTTTATTTTTCAATTATTGGTTAATAAAGAATGATCTTAACGGGGTATATTCATTTTGTGGACTGTCATCAGAATGATTCGTAGTTGATCGAAAGTGAAATGGGTTTGAGTAGTTGAGTGAATGCATTTCGAGAAGTCTGGATTTCAACTTCAAATAATTTGATTTCACTCTTGGATTGGGGTGTATCTGAGCTCTGGATTCGATTCTTGATTTCAGGCCAAATGTCTTGAGCCAGAAATGTAAACGTACCGAAGAACACTAACAATTTGGTTCAATAGTGATACCCTTTTGTTTCCTTTGTAGTCTGAGCACCCAGCTTGTGGGCTGCCGTCTTTTCTCGGTTCTAATTATGTAAGTACTTTTCTTTCGAATACAAGTTAACCTATCTTCAACAAAAAATTGTGGGTTCCTTTTCCAGACCTTTAGATACCAAATGATGGAATTGTTAAACAGAATTGGATCTGGTATTGTGTTTTTCGCGTAAACAACTTTAATAAAAACTTTTGTCCATAATTTGCTATTACCATTCGCTGTTGTTTTGGGTTTAGTGATTATCTTTTTGGATGCTGTTAACTGTGGGTTTAGTGATTATCATACTTCAATATTCATTCTTCCTGTTATATTTCAAAAAAAATATTCATCCTTCCTGTTGGTCTTCTTTCATGGAAGGCCAACAAATAAGATCCAATCATGACTAGGCTCGCTCATTTTATCAGTTTGAAATTCAGTAAGATAGTTCCTGAAGTTGTCCAAAAAGATTTTGCACGGGCTTATTTTGGACCATTGGCTGCTATTGGATGATACCAACTTAGATGGTGGTACCTTGGGCATTTTAGGTTCCAACCTATGTGGTTAAAGCACATGAAGAGTACTGGGACACAGTTTCAAAGTGGTGATTGGGTTATGTGGTCCAACATGAGATCCCACTGAATCTTGACCCGCATAAGGAGCAAATTTTTTTTGCTAAGTTTGACCCAGCTGTGAGAACTGAGAAGTTGAAGACTCAGTATGGAAAAAGCTTTGGAAAGAGTGAAGTGAAAGAGGGGATGAGGTAATTAGATAGATCCTATGGCAAACGGGGAAGGTGCATATAATGACCTTAGAGATAGATTTGAAGTGCTGGATGAGAAAGAGGGGATACGATGGTAGCAAAAATCTGGGCCGTATGGCTTACAGATAGGGATGTTGTAGTACCTACTTCCTTCATCCATTGGTTAAGTTCTCATTGGAGAGAGATCATCATGAAATGGTAAAAACAAAGAAACAACAGCATCAAAGTTTGTGACAGAACCTTTGTTATAGAGTTTTTCTGTGTTTGAAAGTAACCTTTTGCTACATATATATCTTGGAATGGGTTCTAACTGCTCCATGAACTCCTCTAACTCATCAATTAGAACCCTTGAAAGCTAACACTCACTCTTGTCGTCTTACAAAATAGATTTGCTGCCATCCTTTGATATTCTTGCCTGCTTAATTCCTTCCCCTTACAGGCAGATGCACATGCTCATTTTCAGTGATTAAAATCTCATTTTCAACTTGAGAAAACTCAGAGATTTTACTCGATTTGGCTAGTTGCCGAGTTTTATCTATGAAAAAATGGATGCGCCCACGTTTTGGTACATACAGACATGCACGTTGGTGCGTGCGCGTGTGATTTTGTTATAGAAGTGGCATTTAGTCAAGTCATAGGTGTGTGGTTGACTTGGTCACAAACTAGTTTTTAACCTTCCCATAGACATTTATTGATTTATTTTTAACTTATTATAGAATTTGAAAAACTCACCCAAATTTTTGTGAGTCAACTGTACAACTAGGCAAGTCAACTTGATTATGGCAGTGACTGAGTCAACCTAGTTTGCAGGTTTTTGATCACTCATCATGTTATGTTGGCTTGAAGCTATTCTAAGGTTATCATTACGCAATGACTTTGTGATTATTATGACGGAAAAAGGGAAACATAGAATAATTAAAACATACTAGGTTTTTAAAAAATGGATATTACGATCTTTTAAAAAATAATGGGTACAACAGCCAATGTGAATGTCGTAAGAATTGTATTTTTTATTAATTGAGTAAGAATTAATATTTAAAACTAAATGATTTAAATAGCCATCTTCTGAAAAAAGTAGAAATAATAGGCGTAATAATGGGTAGGACCCCCTTTTTCCTGTTGAATTTTCAAATGTTTTGAAATGTGATATGATGGGCATTACACCTTTGGGTAGTGACGGATTTTCTTATATCACATCCCATTATTTAGTTTTATACTCCCTGCCCATGACCATTACATAACATAATGAACATGGGCTATTACCATTTATCATGACCATTATAGTGGTGATTTATGTTTTTTTTTGTTTTTGTTTTTGATTTTTTTGTTTGTTTGTGAAGCGTGGTGCCCTGTGCTTTTGTTTCGTTGTGCATTTTGTTTTCTCTGAGCTGCATTTTTCTGATTTGTTTGCATGAGACAACCAATCACTATCAAAATGTCTAACCTGCAAAAAGTTGTCCAGATAAATAAACATTGTCACAAATAAAACTTGATTGCAATCCAAGGCTCTTTCATTACATGTCGATCTGAACTGGGCCCCTTTAATGCACGGACTTTGCATCATATTGTAGCCCTAGCCTTCCATTTTAGCTGCGTTGTGAGTGGGGGCCTGTAGCAGATGCCAAATAGTTGGGAAAGGGCTCTGATGGTGATGATGATGTGAGTGGGGCTTGTACCTTTGATTGATGGCCCCAGGTCACTGTTAGAGTTTCCTCAGAATGATTTCAGGTGCCTGTTAGCATGCAGACAAGTCTCGTTCAATTGGATGTGGGATGATTTATGTGGTACACTCACACCTATGCGTGTTCATAAGCCAGTATCATCATTCATAATTACTGCAGAAAATTCTATTTAATTGCTGTACGGATGCATCCATGGCACATCACATGGCCTTTTTCATCTGATGATGTTTTGGTTGTTTACCTCATGAACCACACGCCACCATGACGACAGATTAAGCCGTCATGTTTTGGTTGTTTACCTCGTGCATGTGTTTTTGGCAATTTGGCAATTTGGCAATAAGTAGTTATCTGTCAGTTCAACCCTGTCTGGTTTAACCAGGCCTCTTGCTGGTTAGGTTACGATGAGGGTGCAAAGACCAGTTCACCCTCCCTTCAACCTGATGGTTAGGTTACTAAAGGGTCACCCAGTTGTACAGGAGCTGAATGGCCTAGGAGCCTCTTCTAAGTTTAGAAATTACCCACAAATTTATTTGCACACACTAGCTAGTCTGCTGTCCAATTTATCCGATGTGAGAGTGCTCTATGATCATGCATTGTACTGTGGTAGTGTAACATATAAACCTGCACATCCTCTGTGTGATAAGGACATGCTTACCCACCATGCTCTCCACTGTCTTGCCTTTGATATGGTCTTTCTGTGCAAATAATATGTTACATATATTAACTGATTAACTAATTTCCAGAAGTTGCTACTTGCTAGAGTTAGTTAATACCGATGAGCTAAGCCCAAGCTGACTTGAGTTTGTGAAGTAATATCCCTTTCCATGTTCACTAATTATTTTTGTCCATTTGTTCAAAATGCCCCCATCCAATTCTGCTGGATAAAAAAGTGATCCAAGTCTTGTTGGGTGAGACATCATCAGTGATATCTCTTTGCAATTTTGAGATTTATCGGAGTTGTGAAGTAGAATCACACTGTGCATTTTTGCGGGTTAAATATGGGTGACTTAGTGGGAGCATTTTGGAAATCTCTCATGTCGTCACGAAAATTGCAGGGACATAATATGATATTCTGTTAATGGATCATCAATTTAAAAGAAAGGTATTATTTTGATGGATATATTTATATGGGGTATTGATGGATCCGTTAAATGGAGATTTGTATCTCCTTCTGTATTAGATCTTCTTTCAGGCTACTGGCCATATATGCCATTAGGGGTCCATTTCAGTATTGGGTTCCACAAACAATATAAGAAACTCTGCTGCATGAGTTGAAATATTGCCTCTCATTTTTAAGTTTGAAGTTTGATCTAAAAGGTCCGGTCATCCTCTGTATCACAGTCCTCTAAAAGTATGGGATATGGTCCCCCAAGCCCACATCCACCATCCATTCCCACCGGGAGATGGTTGGAGATACGATGGTCATGGGTGTGGTAGAATTAATATCTGCCACTCTTAGTTCTTTTTTCTTCTACAAATACATTATCATTGTGACATTCTCGATTCAAAAAGGACTTATTTTGATATTGGTGGTGCAGGTATCTTCGATGATTATGTTTGATGAGGGTGTGAAGTCATGCCTCCTCTATATCGAAGCTGTCCCTTGGAGTGAAGAGGAAGAGGAAAAGCTCCAAAGTCTCTTAGCTCGCTGTACTATTGACAAGTCGTTATCTCAAGATGTGCTAACCAGGTTGAATCCGCAACCACAAATTGTACCCAACAAACTTGCACTCAATCTTCTTCACAAAGTCACCAAGGCAACCGATGAAAAAGCAAGGAACTCACTCAAGTCCGTACTCCAAGGCCTTTTATCCAGGAGCCCATCCCATCGAAGCAACCCACCTTTTGATCTCCACAAGGATGATCTCTATAGCTTATGCCAGTCTTGCTTAGACTTGCTGGTGGGTATTTTTAAACAGGCCACCAGCTCCGATCCCGACCTCTCATCTCAGCCGTTGATTGGACGGATCTCACATCAGGTAGACAACCTAAATTGGGTGTTAGATATTCTTATAGATAGGCAATTTGCTGAAGATTTTGTGATGATATGGGCAAACCAGTCTGAGCTATTGAGACTTTACGAGAAGGCTTCAGCCATGGTTCGATATGAAGTTAACAGGGTTTCAGCCATGTTGTTTATCTCGATGGGTAGAGGGAAACTTCAATGTCATGGTGAAGTGAGATATGAAGTGCTAAAAGCATGGCTTGGGCCCATGCTCATGGACTTTGGGTGGTTACAAAGGTGTAATAAGGGGCTTGATATGAGACTTTTGGAGGAAGCGATTGGCCAGACTGTGCTCACGCTTCCGATGAAGCAGCAACGACAATTGCTGCTGAGATGGATAGAGTTCTTTGCAAAAGGGGGGAGGGAATGCCCAGATTTGAGCAGGGCTTTTCAGGTCTGGTGGCGCCGCTCCTTCTCGAAAGGATTGGACTTGCGAGCCACAGCTTGAGCCCTTGCCCTTTGTTGTTGGGCTGGCTGGCTCTCTCTTTCACTCGTGCACGTGCGCACGCATGCACGCACTCTCTCTCTCTCTCTCATACTCTCGTGATGTTATATATGTGGTTTCACAAAGCCCCAGATGGGGTGGACCGTTGAGCTGCTTTTGCTCTCTCTCGCCCCAGTATGACATTTAGTAAGGGTGTATAATGAATAATGCAATTCTTGTTCTTTGTAGTGGCTTTGTATTTGTACCTACAGATAAGCTAGTTAAGCTTTGTCTCTCTAATGTATGCTCAGGTGGATATGTTAGTACGTTGTGCAATATTTCTCTTTTTTATAATTTAATACTTATCACTAAAAAAGGGAGGCATCTTACAGAGAGAAAGTGCCGTTATTTAATGGCAAGAAAGTAACCACCTACTTCTTAGGATTACAGAGCCAATTTTTTTTAGAGATTTCATGAGGTTTTTCAGAGATTTCATGAGGAAGCAGAACGTTGGAGAAATGCCTCCTCTATCCCTTCTTAAAAAGGGCTTCATGGCTATGGAGAGGTAGACAAAAATTTACAGAGTTCTCACAATTCTGGTAAAAGCCTAATTTTTGTGATCGATAAAGATAATGCCCTTAATTTTAAGAGTGGGTTCATCTCTTTTTTCTAGTTTTTTCAACATTGGTATCAGAGCAAGTTGTAGAAGCGTAGTGGGCTCATAATCTACAGGTCCCAAATTTTTTTTTGGATATATATATATATATATATTATTATATATATATATATATATATATATATATATACTATATACGTATNTTACGTTATTAACTTAATTATTAACTTAATTA